TATATTGTTTAAGATAAGATCCAATTTCATTCTGTTGGTGATAGAAATTCAGTTTTCCCTGCATCATTTATTGAAGAGACTATTCTTTCCTCATTGTGTCCTTTTGATGCCCATGTCAAAAATTAGTTGTCCATTTATGTTTTAACTTATTTCTGGACTCTCTATTCTATTCCATTGGTCTATGTTTTTGTTTTTAATGCCAGGACTATACTGTTTTGATTATGATAGCTTTGTAATATAATTTTAAATCAGGAAGTCTGATGCTTCCAACATTACATTTTTTCCTCAGTATTGTTTTGGACTTTTGGTGTTTTTTATGGTTCCATATTAATTTTATATTCTTTTTCTATTTCTGTGAAAATAGTCATTGGAATTTTGATAGACATGGCATTAAATCTACATATTGCTTAGAGTACTATGATTATTTTAGCAATATTCTTCCCATTTGTGAACACCTATTTATTCATTTGTTTGCATCATGCTCAATTTCTTTCATTAATGTTTTATAGTTTTAGTGTGCAAATCTTTCAGCTACTTGATTAGACTTATTCCTAGGCATTTTATGCTATTATAAATGGGACTGTTTTCTTAATTTCTTCTTCAACTAGATCATTATTCATGTATAAAAATGCTACTAATTTTTGTACTTTGATTTTTATCTTGCAACTTTACTGAATTCATTTATTAGTTCTAACAGGTTTTTTGTGTAGCGTTGAGGTTTTCTGCTTATAGGATCATGTCATCTGCAAATAGAGATAATTTTCCTTTTTTCATTTTCAATTTTGATAGCTAGATCTATTCTGGATATTTGGTATAAATCAAATCATACCATATGTGACCTGCATTTTTTTCACTTGACATAATGTGGGAGGTCCATCCATATTGTAGTATGTATCAGTAATTTGTTTCTTTTTGTAGCTGAATAATATTCTATTGTGTACATATACTACAGCTGGTATCTGTCCATCTGTTGATAGTCATTTGGGTTGTTTCCACCTTCGTCTATAGTACATAGGGCCACTATGAACATGCATGTAGTATGTATTATATAATTATATATTACATAATGTAAGGATTTGATTAAGTACCTGTTTTCAGTTCTTTTGAGTATATACCTAGGAGTGGAACCGCTGTGTCATGTGATTATTCTATATTTAACTTATTGAGAAACCATCAAATTATTTTCCATAGCCCAACTATTTTAAATTCCCACCAGCAATATAAATGGGTTCTAATTTCTTTACATCCTTACTAGCACTTGTTATCGTCCATTAAAAAAATATTTCTAACATAAGGTTAATTATTTTCTTATTTTTGCAGTGGAAAATAGAAGGTTTTGTGAATACTTTTTATCTCAACAGTATCATTTAGATATTTAAATATTTGGTAATAATTTCCAATAAAAATATAGAGCTAAATAAAGAAGGACAATGAAAATGCTAGATTTAGCAAGCAAAAGTTTGTGGGCAATATGGCTTAGAGCTGTAAGTAAATGAAGTGTTTCATTTCCCCTATAATGTAATAATTTTTTAAACTATATCCAATCGGGCAGTTTTAGCTCCCCCTCCACCTTTGTTTTCATTTGCTATTTTGATAAAATCAGAAATAAGAATTGTATGCAGTCTTGTGTTTAGTTTGTTATAATTTATCATATTAGATATTTTAATCAAAGCGTCTACATACCACAATTATTTATGACAAGTGAAATTCTAAGCTTAATTATAATCTGGTATTTTATTTAAAATAATAATTTAAAGTGACTTTGAGAAACTTCTAAAATTTGTCCAAATTTTTCAGATAGGCAGTTATTAATGTAAGACTTTAAATGTTTCTCTGGAGTTGTAGGCCTTCTCTGTGTTAACTGCTTCAGTATCCTGAACAAATAGTGTTTAAATGCTAGGTACCAGAAATTTTGCCTCCAAATATCAGATGAAAGACTGACTAAAATAATTTTTTAATTATTTCTTTGTTACTTCTAAACAATGTTGCTAAGGTAGTGTTTTGATATATTACCTTAAAACGTTTCTTCATATGAAATTGCACTCTGCTTCAAACATTTTGAGTAATAATGTTTTATTTTTATAAAATGATTTTCTATTGAGCTATAAAGAAGACCAAACTGAGAATATTAATTATTGCTAACTTGTTGAAGACTTCAGAAGTTTTGGATAATTATATCACAATTTACTGAAGTGCCTCTTAACCAATTTTCCCCTGACTCTCTTGTGATACTTCAACTTCAACTGGCTTCTTAGAACTGCCATGTAAATCAACGTCATGTAGGTTTCTGCATTATGCAGGACTGTGAATGCCAGTTTCCAAAATCAAGGAATAACATTTTCCTGATTATTAATTAGTTTAGAATCTTATTAACATGCTCACTGAATTTTTATTCTCTTCTTTGCAAAATGCCAATTTATCTTTTGCCATTTTCTTTTGGGTTTACTTGTATTTTCTTATTGACTTGTAGGAACTTGTTACCTTTAGTAAGTTGTATGTGTTGTAAACACTTTCTCTCAGTTTGTGACGTGTCTTTTTAGTTTATTAACTTTAATGTAATTAAATTTATCACTTTACTTTTGCTTTTAAGTGATTTGTGTCTTGTTTAAGAAGAATTTCCATACCACAATCCTGTGACAGTTTTACTTTATAGCTACTAAATTTTTAGTTTCTCTTAGGAGATTTGCTTAACAATGTGAAATTGATTTCTTTTTGCATATGAATGGAATAGATGGCTAATTTTACTTTTTAAGGAAAATTAGTTTTTCTACATTGATTTCATTTCAAATCCAGTCATTTCTTATAAATCAGCCATACCATATGCATCATACATCAAAGTTTCATGTATGATTTTACTTATTTCTGGCCCTTTCCATCCCACTGGTCAATTTTACCTCCCTATGCCAATATCTGGTTTCACTCATTTACATGAGTCATAATATGTTTTGATATCTGATGTGGTGGTTCTTTTTACCTTTTTAGAGTTCTTTGGGTATTCTTGATATACTGCTCTTCCATAAATTTTAGAATAAGCTTGTCATATTATATGAAAAAATCTATTGGGATTTTAAACATAATTGCATTCATCAGTTTTTTTATTATGTATATGAATTTAGTCTTTTTCATGATTTGATCAATGATGTACCACATATACAACAGTGGTCTCATGAGATTACATTATTGTATTTTTACTGTACCTTGTCTATATTTTGATATGTTTAGATACACAAATACATTGTGCTATACTTGCCTACAGCATTCAGTATGGTAACACACTGTGCATGTTTGTAACCTAGGAGCAACAGGCTATACCACTGAGGTTTGTATAAATATACTCTATGATGTTTGCGCAATGACAGAATTGCCTAGCAATGCATTTCTGAGAATGTATCACTGTGATTAAGTGACACATGACTGTATATGTATATATTAATGTGAATGGGTGTGTGTTTACACACACATACATGCATACACATATATATCATATAATTTTTTTGTTCAGATTTTGGTAGGATATGGGAACTAGAGAGAAGTAATCATGTATGCCAAATAAACATCTTGAATTAGAGATAATCTATGAAACCTGTAACATTCTGGTTTTGCATTTTTGAAAATGTATGACTTGTACGACCCAAGGTACTCTTAGAATATATCTGTAGAAAATAACCCCTGCCAATGACTTTATAGGCCAGAAAAGGCATAATATTATGGAAAACTAAATATGTGAACTCACGTGTAATTTTATATTCACTACTCTTTGGTAACACATTAAAATTCAATAGATGTCATGTACTTCTGACAGTTAGGAAAGTCTTTTGGGAACAAATAGCATTTGAACTGTCCCTTGATGAATGTGTAAGATTTAGAATCACAGAGACAAAGGTCAGAACAATTAGGTAGGGTTAAGAATAAAACAATATGAATAGATAGGAGATTTGTGTACTTCTTGGGAAACAACTGTAAACCAATAAGTTTCTGAGACAGGTCTTAATCAATTTAGAGGTTTATTTTGCCAAGGTTAAAAACCATGGTCCATGACAGCCTCAGGAGGTCCCAAGAGCATGAGCCCAAGGTGGTGGGGTTACAGCTTCATTTTATACATTTTAGGGAAGTAGAAGTTACAGGGAAAGACATAAATCAATACATGCAAGTTATACATTGGGTTAGGCCTGGAAAGGTGGGACAGCTATAAATGGGGACTTCCAGGTCATAGGTGAATTCAGGTTTCCTGATTGATAATTGGTTGAAAGATATGACTTGCCTGAATTGTTGAATTCACCATTAAAAAAAGAAAAAAAAAAAAAAAGCCAAAGTTCTTGTCATATTGATGAAGCCTCCAGGTAGCAGGCTTCAGAGAGAATAGATGGTGAATGTCTCATATCAGACCTTGAGAGATGTCAGGCTCACTAAAAAGGACCTAGTAAGGGCAAGAGATTCTCTACAGTATGCAAATTTCTGCCACAAAAGACGGTTTTGCAGGACCGTTTCGGAATATGTCAAAGAAATATATTTTGGAGTGAAATACTTTGATTTCTTTCAAGAAAAAGAAATCTGTTATCTGTTTTGTGTCTGAAATCTGTTACCTGTTATCTGTCATGTGATGCTATATCAGAATCAGGTGGGAATTTGGTATATTATTGCTACAAAGAGTCTTTTTTGTTTATCTTAAGATTTCTGTTTTAATTTTAAAGCTGGTCGGTTGTGTCTAGATTACAAAGGCAGGAGGTCATAATGAGGCATGTCTAATCCCCTTTCCCATCATGTCCTTAACTAGTTTTTTAGGTTTTTTGGGGTCTCCTTGGCCAAGAGTTGGGGGGAACTACTCAGTCAGTTGGGGGGCTTAGAATTTTATTTTTGGTTTACATGAAAGTATAAGTAGACAAAAATATAGTGAAGTAGAGATATGTGAAGTAGAGAATTGACAAGTTTAAGTGACATTTATTCACTGTTTGTTAATATGTTTAAGATTTGATTTTTATTGAGATCTTTTGTTTTGACAGTTTGAAACTTCTTTTGAAGAATGGTAAGAAAATTTCGTGCTTTTTAAAACTATTTTATTTTTAATGTCAAAATTTCAGTCATCTGCTATAATCCAGTTTAACTTCAAAAGGAATAGAAAATTGAATGCAAGATTTTTCACAATAGATATTACAATATATTTTTTAAAATATGAGAATTAGGACATCACTGATAATGGCAAAATAGAGATCTCCAGAGCTCCATCCCTCCACAAAAACAACTATAAAATTTGCAAAAACATTGCTCAGAATCGACTTTTGCAGAAATCTGGAATCCAGTAAAAATTTAATAACCAGTCAGGGAAAATTCAATGAGGAAGGAAGCTGCTGCATTGCATTAAGAGAGCACTGTGGCATTGTAATTTGCCTGCTCCGCATTCTCCAGCTTTCAGACTGGTGGCAGCTAGAAAGAAAGCCGTGCACACCTGTGGTGCAGATTCCTAGTGCCAGAGGGAATAATAGGAACATCATTCTCAAAGAATTGTGTTTGAGTGGTCTGATAGCTCCTGGAAAGACTAGCATAAGGACTTTGCTTGACTTGGAGCAATCACAAGGCTGGGGCTACTTACAGGCAGTGTTTGCAAAAAGCGTTTAAAGGCATATACTTGCCACAGCAGCCTGAGGCTATAGATAACAGCTAGGACAAGCATTAACCAGACCAAAATTCCTGTGAAAAAACAGGTTGGAAAAAGAGATAGATACATGAAGGAAAATCTCTCAATATACTGGAGATTTGAAAGAGCACAGAGGGCTGGAAAAATGTTCAAAAAATACTGAGAAGATCCAAATCTTACTTCTGGCTGACCTTTAAGATCTGCATAGGCAGGAATTGAAGACAGAGTCAGTGTTGTAAACAGCCTAGGCAAGCCTGGAAGGATTACCCTAAGGCAGACCAAATCTGCTAAGATTGGAAAGTATTGTTTTTCTTTTTCCTTTCTTTTGTTGCCAGCCATTTAAGAGAACTCACACAAAACACTAGCTCACCAGTAAGCTAAGGAAACAGATTTCAATGATTACACATGACAAATAATACAGCCGTTATGAAAGAGTGTTCCTAAAAGTCACTAAACAAACAATAACCCACTACAGACAGAAATAGCAAATCCAATGGTGTAATATGGTTTTTATTTCACATTAAAATATTCAAAATGTCCAGTTTTCAAAAAGTAGATATGAAGAATGCAAAGAAAAGAAAGTTTGGCTCATTCACAGTGAAAAAGGATAAATTCACATAAACTGTTCTCAAAGGAACCCAAAATTTGACTGGACAAAGATAAATCAATTGGCTTAAATTATCTTCAAAGAGATAAAGGAAACCCTGAACAAATAACTAAAGCAGAAAAGTGATGTTTCAACAAATGTAAAATCTCAAGAGAAATTATAAAAATTAACCGAATAGAAATTCTAGGCAGGGCGCAGTGGCTCATGCCTGTAATCCCAACACTTTGGGAAGCTGAGGTGGGTAGATCATGTCAGGGGTTCAAGACCAGCCTGGCCAATATGGTGAAACCCCATCTTTACTAAAAAAAAAAATACAAAAATTAGCTGGGCATGGTGGCATGCACCTGTAGTCCCAGCTACTCAGGAGGCTGAGGCAGGAGAATCGCTTGAACCCAGGAGGCGGAGGTTGCAGCGAGCCAAGATCGTGCCACTGCACTCCAACCTGGGCGACAGGTGAGACTCTGTCTGAAAAAGAAAAAAAAAAATAAAAAATTCTAGAGCCAAAAAATAAACTAACCGAAATTAAAAACTTCACTAGAAGGGTTCAGTAGCAGCTTTGAGCAGTCAGAATAATCAGTGAACTTGATGATAGGTTAATAGAGATTATCTAGTCTAAGAAAGAAGAAAGACAAGAGAATAAAGAAAAATGAAAAGTGCCTAATAAGCCTAAGGGATACCATCAAGCATAATAGCAGTCAAAAAGTGTGAGAAGAAAGGGATAGAGAATGAAAAAATATTTGAAGAAACACTGGCTAAGAAACTCCTCAATTTGATAAAGACTTAAATCTATGCATCCATCAAACTCAGTGAACTCCAAATACAATCAAGTCAAACAGATCCACACCAATATACATTTTAGTTAACGTGTCAAATGCCTGGGACAAAGAGAATCTTGAAAACAGCACAAGAGAAGCAACGTTTCATGTACCAGGGACCCTCAGTAAGATTAACAGTGAATTTTTCATTAGGAATTGTGGAAGTCAGAATGCAGTGGGGTGACACATTTAAATGCCAGAAGGAAAAAAAGAAACTGCCAATGAAGAATTCTGAATCCAGCAAGCGTATCCTTCAAAAAGAAAGGAGAAATTAAGGCATTCTCAGATAAACCAAAGGGGTGTATCACTAGCAGTCCAGTTCTATAAGAATCCTATAAGTAGTCTTTCAGGCTGAAATGAAAGGACACTAGAGAGTAACTGGAAGCCATATGATAAAATAATAAACAATAATAAAGTTAACTTCAAAGGTAAGTGTTAAATCCAGTATAAGTGTATTTTTGTTTTGTAATTCTGATTTGTTCCCCTATGTGATTATAAGGTCAAATGGATAAAATTCATAATAATAAATTTCTGCTAATGAACACAAAATGGATAACTATGTAATTGGTGAAACTGATACCATAAGAGAAAGGGCAGAGATGTAAAGGAACAGAGTTCTTTATATGTAACTAGATAGGTATACTATTGGAGCTACATTGATTTTAATTCAGTTTTTATAGAGTTAAGGTATTAATTGTAATCCTCAGGATAAACACTAAGATTCTACTTTAAAAAATACAGGAAAACAAAGACAGGCAAACTAAACAATATGTAGAAAAAAATCAACTAGTTACAAAGAAGGCAGTTATGGAGGAGTTCAGAAATAAATAATATAGGAAATGAATAGCAAAATGGCAAAAATAAGCCCTTCCTTATCAGTAATTTATATGTAAATGGATTAAACTCTCCAATTGAAAGGTAGAACATGGTAGAATGGATAAAAATAGATAATCCAACTATATTCTGTCTGTAAGAGTCTCACCTGAGATACAAAAGCATAAGTAGTTTACAAGCAGAAGGATGAAAAACCATATTCCATGCAAATAGTAAGTAAAAGAGAGCTGGAGTAACTATACCAATGTCACACAAAATAGGCTTTAAATCAAAGCCTGTTACAGAAGACAAAAGACTTGATTCATTGATAAAAGTGTCATTCTACCAAGAAGATATATAAACTATAAATATAACACACCTAACAATATAACCTCAAAACAGACATATAAACTAATGGAAGTGAAGGGAATAATAGACTGTTCTACCACGGGATTTTGAGAATTTAATGCCCCCACTTCCAATAATGGATAAAATAACTAAACAGAAGATCAGTAAATAAATAGACTTGAATAACATGAACCAACTAGACCTAACCAGTTTATACAGAATACTCCACTTAACAACAGCAGAAAACACATTCTTCTCATTTGCACATGGACCATTCTTCAGCATAGATCATGTATTACACCACAAAACAAATTTCAATGAAACTAAAAAGATCAAAATTATACATGGTATTTTTTCTAACCCAATAGAATGAAACTGGAAATCAATAACAAATGGAAACCTGGAAATTTCATATATATGTGGAAATTAAACAAATCATGTTTTACAAATCAGTAAGTCAAAGCAATAATCACAGGGGAAATTAGAAAACACCTTGAGGTGAGTGAAAATGAAAACACAATGTAGTTAAACTTACAAAATGCAGCAAAAGTAGTACACAGAGGGAAATTTAGAGCTATAAATGCTTACATTTAAAAAGGGGATCTCAAATCCAGTAACCTAACATTATACCTTAAGGAAGTAGAAGAGGAGGAGTATGCTAAACCCAAAGTTAGCAAAAGGAAGGAAATAAAGGTTAAAGTAGAAATAAATGAAATAGAGACTAGAAAAACAGTACACAGAATCAATAAAAACAAAAGTTGTTTCTTTGAAAAGAGCAATGAAATTCACAAACCTTTAGCTAAACTAACCAAAAATAAAAAGAAGACTCAATTACAAATTAAATAATACAAAATTTGAGACACTACAACAGATTCTGCAGAAATAAAGAGGATTATAAGAGGATACTAGGAACAAATGTATATCAACAAACTATCGAAGATGAAAGAGACTAATTCCTAAAAACACGTAAACTACTAAAACTGTCTCAGGAAGAGGTAGAAAACCTGAATAGACCTATGACAAATAATGTGATTGAATCAATAATCAAACACTTCCCCAACGAAAAAAAATCTCAGGACCACATGGCTTCACTGGTAAATTCTACTAAACATTGAAAGAATTAATATCAGTCCTTCTCAAACTCTTCCAAAAAATCGAAGGGAATAATTTCTAAGTCATCTTATGATCCCAGCAATAACTTGATAGTGAAACCAGACAAAGACATCACAAGCAAACTATAGAATATACATGAATATACATGACAGGCCAGGCACAGTAGCTCACACCTGTAATCCAAGTACTTTGGGAGGCCAAGGCAGAGGATCACTTGAGCCCAGAAGTTTGAGACAAGCCTAGGCAACATAGTCAAAACCCATCTCTACAAACAAACAAACAAACAACAACAAAAAAATTAGCCAGGTGTGGTGGCACATGCCCGTAGTCTTAGCTACTCCAGAGGCTGAGTTTGGAAGAGTGCTTGAGCCCAGGAGATCAAGTTTACAGTGAACTGTGATTGTGCCACTGTACTTCAGCCTGGACAACAAAACAAAACAAACAAACAAAAAATGACAAAATCCTCAACAAAGTACTATCAACCTGAGTCCAGCAACGCATTAATATAATTATACGCCCGGGCGCAGTGGCTCACACCTGTAATCCCAGCACTGTGGGAGGCCGAGGCAGGTGGATCAACTGAGGTCAGGAGTTTGAGACCAGCCTAGTCAATATGGTGAAACCCGATCTCTACTAAAAATACAAAAATTAGCCAGGCGTGATGGCGGGCGCCTGTAATCCTAGCTACTCAGGAGGCTGAAGCACAGGAATCACTTGAACCTGGGAGGCAGAGGTTGCAGTAAGCCAAGATCACACCACTGCACTCCAACCTGGGTGACAGAGTGAGACTTTGTCTCAAAAAAAAAAAAAAAAAAAAAATTATACATCATGATCAGTGAGATTTATCTTAGAAATGCAAGAGTGGTTTAGCATACAAAAATTAGTTAAATGTGGCACAAGCCCACACCTTTCATAAAACTACATTGTAAGGGAATGTATTAAACATAATAAAGGATATTTATGAGAAACCCTTAGTTTATATTATACCCATGATGAAGACCGAAAGTTTTCATCTTAAGAACAGGAGCAAAACAAGGATGCCCACTCTTCCAATTTTCTTCAACATTAGAACCCTTGCATATTGCTGGTGTGAATATAAAATAGTTTAGACACCAAGAAACAGTTTGTTGGCTCCTCAAAAAGTGAAACCTAGAATTAGCTATCACTTAGCAATTTGACTCCAAGATATATATCCAAAAGTATTCAAAACATGTTCAAACAAAAATTCATATATAAATGTGCATAACGTCTGTATTCACAGTAGCCAAAAGGTGGACACAATCCCCAAATCCATCAGTGGATTAATAGATAACCAAATGTGTTGTGTATACACAATGGAATATTATTCTACCATTAAAATAAATAAAATTCTACATACTGCAACATGGAGAAATCTTGAAACTATTATGCTAAGTTTAAAAAGTCACAAAGGTCCCTTATATGATTCTATTTCTATGAAATATTCATAAAAGTTCATCCACAAAGAGAGCAGATTAGTCATTGCTATGAAAGAGTGCGTTGAAGAAAGGGGAGAGACTGCTTAATAAGTAGGGTATGTTCTTTTGGAGTGATGAAAATATATTGGAATGAGATGGGATGATAGTTGTACAATGTCGTGAATGTATTAAATGCCACTAAAGTTTCCACTTTCAAATGTTTAATATTATGGAAATTTGGCTCAATAAAAAAATAGAAAAATTAGCATAGAATTTTACAGGTCCGAGAATTAACTGAACTTTATAAGATACACAAAATGATCTAATTATGTGTAATAATTTACTATATCATGTAAATGGTGTTAAAAGCCAGCAAGGAAAGTACTTTTAATAGTTAATGTTGGACAGTTTTTTTCAATTTTTTAAAAGAAAACAAATGAGAAAAAATACACTTTTCAACAAAAATATTTTGAAATAAATATGAAAACTAAAGGAAGAAAATATAAAGAATATTTCTCTGACCTTGGAATAGACAGACTTAGCTAAATAAGTTGTGGAACAATGACAAGAAAAATAATTTGTAGCTATCAGAAATATAAAATGGTAGTAAAATACACTGAAAATAATTTCAATTAACTAAAGCAGAATGTATAATTGTGACTCTAATTTTATAAGAATTGAAATAACATTAGACTACTCTATGTGATCTCTGAATAATAAATAAATATGGATTACATTATTTTTATGATTTTTTGGTATGTATACAGTTTTCTTAATTTACAATACTTCTTTAATAAAAAATAATGTAATGAAAATTTCAAAAAAATTCTCTGCTTTGTTGTTGATACCAATTTTCTTGTAACTTTGATCAGAGAAAAAACACTTTTAAAAATGTATAACGAAGGCTAGTTTAGGATTCTAGAATCAGACCAGAGAAATACAGAGAAATGGTTTATTATTCAACATATAGAATTTTAGTTAGAAAGGAAATAACATTTTAATTTATAATCACCTCTCAAGACACTATAGTTTAGTGTTGTCCAGTAGAACTTTCTATGATAATGAATGTTCTATATTTGTATTTTCCAACAGTGTAGCTACTAGGAAGGAAATAACATTTTAATGTAGGTATTTTTCTAAAAGTTTATTATCTGAAATGATATTTTTACTCATTGTAATTTACATTGATTCCCCAGAAACTACTGAACTGAAATTACAGAAATAGCTCATCCAAATTATTCTCACAGAATACCCTTTGTCCTATAGAAACACTGTCTAGGAAAGACCAATTTCTTTTTAAAAAAAATGTAGCTTTAATATGTTCTCAAGACATTTTGGGTCATTTGTAACTAATTTTAAGTTTTTATTAATTTACCATTAAGTGTAAATCCCATTACTTATTAGAATTTTGCTGTATTAGTCTCCTATCTAGTAATATTGTATTGTATAGTAAGTTTCACCACAAATATTTAAAATTCAATGGAAGAGCATAACCTAAGATTTGTTTTACTAACTTTAAGTACTTCGCTCCTTTACTGCTTGTTTCTTTCCCATTATATAGGAGCAGAACTTCCACAAAAGACCTGAAAGAAGATTGGAGTGTAGCTACACCAGTGAAAGAGGTCAAACCAGAAGAAAAGAGAGGTAAAGTTGTTCCTCCTACTTGAATAACTGTAATTATATTTAAAAGCTCATTGACTTCATTTAATATATTTCTAATTGTCACAATAATCATGTTTAAGAGTTTTATAATTATTATGAATGTTTAATAGACAAAATAGTCCTCTGTATTGTTTGATTAAGCATTCATTCAGCAAATATTTATTAGTGAATATTATACACCAAATACTTGTTTAGGTGCTGAGTATTTAATGATGGCTGTCCACTTCTCAAGATGCTATTTGTAGTTTAGTGTTGCCCAATAGAACTTTCTGTGATAATCAATGTTCTATGTCTATACTGTCCAATGGAGCAGTTACTAGCCACATACAGCTGTTGAACCCTTGAAATGTGGCTAGTGAGACTGAGGAACTTAATTTTTAAGTTTAATGTGAATTAAGTCACATATAAATGTAAATGGTTGCATGTGGGTGATGACTACCATATTGAAAATTGCAGCTCTAGTATGTATTTAAGTTGTGATAAATATTCTTGTCACAATTTATAAAATACATAATATTTTATATACTGGGGTAAAATTTGTGTTAACACTACTTTAGTGTATTTAAATCTATTATTGAGATTTTATGTAGCACCTCCTCTTCCAATGGGTTAAAAAATAGCGACTGTGTGACTGCTGAACTTGCACTTGTAACCATTATTTCATACTCCCATCTAGCAGAAAATCATTGTCTTTATTGTCCAAAAACAACACAAAAAAGAAATGCATTAAAAAATTTCGCTAAAATTTTTTAGCAAAATATTGCTAAATCCTTGATTGAAGACTAATAAACTCAGGACTTTTTAAAAACAAGAATATTTTGTTTTTCAAAGTTTTCATTCATAGCAAAGCTTTGTTTTTACTGTTTTATTTTTCATTATTTGTGCCTGCAGTGAAGATGAGGACCTTAATCATTACTTACCAAGTTTTCACACAACAAATGCTGAGAGAAAAAATAGATATTTTAACCATCACAACTACAGTTCCATTAGCTACAATTACATTTATTATCAATATGTACCTTTGAGGTCTAAAACATACAACAATAGCAGGATGAAGAAGATTTGTTGTAATTAAGGGCTTATGCTAAAAAATTGCAGGTAGTTGCTTAGAACAGTAATATGAAACTGTAAAACTGAGATGGCACTCAAGAAAAAAAAAATGAGATGTTAAATACAATGAATTTGAGGCATCCCGAGTTACCCATACAGCATTTGTTTAAGAATTTATTATTGAAATAGTATAAAAGACAGCTCCTAGAAACATAATGAACACCTTTACTAAAACACATATACATTCAATCAGAAGTATTTTAATTATAAGTGATATTAATTTATTTATATATTCCAGACTGAAATCTTGTTATTGTAATTGATTATAGAATGAATCATAAACTGGCTGGAGAACACAATGATGAGTGAATATGTTTTCATTTTAAAAAGACAATTAATGATTTAAAGTATCCAAGATGTGGTAGAATTTGACAAAAGAAAACAATAGATTCAAAGACAGAAATAAAGGACCAGTGTAGAGAAAATCATTTTTATGCATTAAAAATAGGGAAACCGATTTTATAAGAATGCTTCTGAAGCAGCATGCTGGATTTCTCTGAGAAGTCCAATGGGTTAAAAAATAGCAACTGTGTGACTGCTGAGCTTGCACTTATAACCATTATTTAATACTCCCATCTACTAGAAAATCATTGTCTTTATTGTCCAAAAGCAACACAAAAAAGAAATGTATTAGTTTTCTTTCTTCTTGATGCAGGTTAGCTATTTTTCCTCTAGCCTCAGTTCTTTGGGGGAGTTGTCTCTTAACACTTTGTATTTATTTGTTTATATAACATTTTGGCAAAAGTCAGTGTTTATAAGCATAAATCCTACAAGGATAGGACTCATATCTGTCTTCTTTACCTTCCTTTTCTCCTGCGAAGACCATGTGCTTGTTCCCTGGAATATAATAGACTCTGCACACATTTCTTTCATAAATAGTCAAATGAGTACCCATGGTCCTAATTTTGTTAATGTTAAGCCACATCATTCCAGAACTGTGAAACAGGAATCACAAATATTTCTCATTAAAGGAGTTAATTCAGGGTTAATTTAGTATTATAACTAATTAAATAGAGTTTCAAAATTCCAATGAATTCCTGGCAAAGCTAAGTAGAGAAGTTCTTACTGGATGAGACTGAAGAATATGACTTGTTTCTAGGAACCATCTATCATTATTCAGTATTTACCTGATGTAATCTTTATCATACGTTTTCTTATAAAATAGGAGGAAACACACACATAATTTTAAAATAAAGCTGTATAGCACAGCTTATGTTGGTTGAGATTTAGCTATTGTAATTATTTTATAAAATGATTATTAAAAATAGGTCTTCAAAGTTTATAATCAATCTTATGTTTGTATTATAATCAAACTGTCTTTAAAAAGCTAATTTTTCTAACATTCTCTTATTAAATATATATTAAAAAATAATAATACAACTAAGACCCATGTTCCCATCATCCAGCTTATTGACTGATTTATTAACAAATATGAATATATATATCTGTTTAAGATGAAGAGTGTCCAGAGTTAAAGCAGGAAATGGAAACATTGCTCTCAGAGGCCACTCATCTCATTAAAAGTCTAGAAACTGACCGGGCAGAAGCTGAAGAAGCTTTAAAACGACAAAGATCAAGAAAGAACATGATTAACTTGAAAATTGACTCTTGGTCAGTCTGGAAACTTCGAGAACTCCCATTGGCTGTGCAGAAAGGTAATAATCGGGATTTTTATATTACTTCTTACTCTGTTGGAGGTACAGATAATTAATTACAGGTCTGTGTATTTAAAAAAAAATTGTCCTAGTGCCAAGGCTCACACCTGTAATCCCACACTTTGGGAGGCTGGGGCGGGCAGATCACTTAAGCCCAGGAATTCGAGACCAGCCTGAGAAACATAGTGAAACCCTGTCTCTACAAAAATACAAAAATTAGCCAGGTATGGTGGGACTAACCTGTAGTCTCAGCAACCTGGGAGTCTGAGGTGGGAAGACTGATTGAGCCCAGGAGATTGAGGCTGCAGTGAGCCCTGGGTGACAGAGTGAGATCCTGTCTCAAAAAATAAATATCACCTGTTTAGAGTGACCGTATTATTTTGCAAATAAACCAGCACTTTGGAAAGATGTTATTGAAGTTAATGGTGGGTTCACAGATGCAAACTGTGAGACTGTGCTGGGCAAACCTGGACCTGATGTCCTTTCGGTGTGTTAGAAATCCAATGGCATTTATGGTACCTACAGAACATGCAAATATTTGGCATCTATCCTATAATGACTACACTATATGAATTTCTAGGACTTTAGGAATTTGAAGTGATTGCCAGTTGGTGTCATTAGCCACATTTTTAAGTCTAGGAAAATTGAAAGAGTTTTAAGTCATATTTTAAGCACTAAATGCATATGCTTTTGAGAATTTAATAGTAAATTTGCTTTGAGAACTTCTAGCAGGTAACAAAACCTAAAATGTTTCCAAGAGTCATACAGGTAACAGAGGTTTAAGAAGGAAATTCTTTTAGCTCGCAGAGTGAGGGACCTATGGTGAAGGATTAAAGAATCTAAAGGTATTGGATTTTGTTGTTGTTGTTCTACAAACCCTGTGCCTATGAAAATATGCCTGACTACCTGATTCTGCCTGAAGCTGGAAGATTTTTACTCTCTCATAGGATAAAAATTTTAAATCAGGATGCACATGTTTTGTAAGAGATTTTTATTAATATTAGGGTGCCCATATATGATCTATCATTTAAACCAAGAAATCTTTGAGAGAAAAAAAGGACATTATTAATTATTACCCAGACCAACAGCCATTAATTCAAATTATAGGTCATAGTGTACTCATATTTAGACCTTTGTTAAAATTTTAGTCTTCTAAGGCTGTAGTTACCAAAGTAGGGTATATGAATTCCAGAGAGTTGCAAGAAAAGATTAGAACTTCTGTTTATATTTGTAAATTTTATCATTTTTAAAATTTTCTTTTTGAATAGAATTTATACTGTGTATGCTCCACTAATACAGTAGATTTATATAATTTATAAATATATGTGTGTGTGTGTGCATGCGCGCATGCTTTAGAGGCAATGAGGCTACCATCGTGTCAGAAAAGACACCCTGGGAAATTCTGGATCCTAGTAGATTCTTGACAGACTCTATTCACATTGGCAGGAGTCATCCACAATTTTCCTAATTGTTTGGGAGGTTCTTCCTTGTTAGTAGCAGTAGAAAAAATATGGTGGGAAGGTTTTATTGAATTGTTTGCTGATAAATTTATATATAATCTCATATACCCTTTGTAATAGTGCTTAGATATTATAGTTTTAGGAGTTCTACTTTAGGAGTTCTTGAAATAAATTTAAGTTGAGATACATGTGTGCACATTATAGTTACTTAATAAATGGTTTTGAACTATGGAATAAATATTTGTCATGGGTGACAACTTATTGTTGGATTCTTTTAATCAATAAAAGATCTACTTAGAAAACAGATTTATGTTCATCTGCTCTATTTTATATAAGTAGCCACTATATGCAATGAAATTTAAATTCATTATGGTTATGTATTTTTTAAAGTTAATAGCTTTCTCTTTGAAACATATTCCTTACAGGTAATGTGTTCTCAGGAATCTTCTGCCTTTATATTATTTATGTAGAATATAATCTCTAAATTTTATGAATTTGTTTACAAAGTATAAAGTCATATTTTTATAGTCTTTAGATTCTCAAAAGTATATAGCTTGTAAGACAGGAAAAAATTTTAATCTCCTTAACAAACTTAAGTATTATATTTGTTATAAATTTAGATAGTTTTCAAAAATAAAATTAAGAAAACTCACTTCTTTCTAGATATTTTCTGGTCAGTCCTCCCGATTTAGCTTTCCTCCTAACTCCCCAATCCCACTTATATCTTTTGTTTTGTGACCCAGGAGGCTGATTCATAGTGGACTGCATCAAAGATTGTTTGCATTCTATCTTCCTGTTGGGTTCAGCCAATGAGAATCAGTGGCAAGAGACCATGGGGAGATAATGGAGATGGGTGAGGCAGGGGTATTTATAGCACTGACTGCCCCGCTCTCCATCTGGTCACTTTAAGCTGACTGCATGCCTCTCCTGAAAATGACAGCCCTTGCCATCCAACATGTAGCCAATTATCTAGCAAATGCTTTTTGTTTTCCCTATCAAAAAAGATAACTAGAAATAAGCTTACCATCATGAATTTGGTAGTATATGATCCTACAAATTATAAAGTTGGATATGCATAGCAGTGTTCCTTTGCAAAATAAAAGGGTACTTATATTACGTTGTACCCAAACATTATCTGAAGACACAAGTAAACTTGTGACTCAGGCTCCTCGGTTATTCCCATTGTACCTGCTTCTATATATTTCCTGTCTTTCCTGTAATCTACACTATGGCTCCATGGGTACTTTCCTATGACGATCTGATCAAAGAGGAAAAAAAAAAAAAACAACACAGCCCTGGTTTCTGAATGAATTTGAATAGTATGTAGACATAATTTGGAGAATTGCTGCATTCCAGTCACTTGATGGGAAAGGTGAAAGCTAATCACCCCAGTGGGCAGAATTTTAAGTACTCTTTGAAGAAGGAGAAATGGCTCAAGGAACATATGGGAAGTGGCAAAAGGGAAGGCAGAGTGTCAGGGAATTTGAAAATAAATGAATGTAAGACTGCTAAAAAGAAGTCTGGGAAGGTAAGAGATGACCTTTGGAAAGGATAGATTACAAAGATAATTATGTCCCATATAAATGCTCACCAGAATGCCACTGCTGTGGAAGACGGTCTCAGTAATTAATGGAATGTTAAATCTTCCATTTTGTTTTGAATTGTTTTGTCTTGTTAATTATTCAGTTATTACTACAAACGTGCTTTGTAACAACCACCTTGGAACTCAGTGGCTTGCAACAATAAGCATCTTCTTATTTGCTGATGGCTCTGTGAGTTGGCTAGGGAAGCTCTTCAGGCCATATATCCAATGGCCTTGGCTCAAGGCTGTATGTTGGGTTCAGGACAGCTTCATGTGTCTGTCATCCACTTTGCTAGCACCTTCCCAGGAGTAAGGTTTTTATGTGGCAAATTGCAAGAATACAAAATGGGTGAATAGAAACATAGTATGCTGCTCAAAATGTCAGCTTGGAGCTGGCATACCTTCACTTCTCACATCCATTTGGAGATACAATTCAAGTTAGATTTGGGTGGGGACACAGCCAAAATAAGTATCACATCCAAACCAAGAATCTATATGATAAGAAATTATCTCTATCCCAAGGGAGAGGGTAGTGAACAACATATCTATCATATCTTGTTTCTTATAACTATTCCTGATATTGAGTTTATTCTATGATTTCAACATATTTCATAGTAATCTCATCTTCAATTGTTAATTATATTCTGTAGAAATCCAATAAACCTTGGATTACTTTTTGTCTCTACTAGGATCCTAGGAGTTTCACTGGTTCTAGATCAGTTTTCATACTAATTTCTTGGCTGAATTATGATCTCTAAACCTTCTTAAGTTTCAAGTTAGAGTTTTTTATTTCTTTGAAGTAATTATCTTTCTACCCAGGGTCATTTACTGAGTTTTTTTTAATCCATGCCAAACTGTTTAAGCCCCAAGTTGTCAGTAAATTTTTAATAGGTAAATCAATTTATTTCCTAGTTTTAGGTCTGTATGAGTTTGTTTTCACACTGCTGATAAAGATATACCTGAGACTGGGAAGAAAAAGAGGTTTAATTGGACTTAACAGTTTCACATGGCTGGGGAGGCCTCAGAATCACAGCAGGAGGCTAAAGGCACTTCTTACATGGTGGTGGCAAGAGAAAAATCAGGAAGAAGTAAAAGTGGAAAAACCCCTGATAAGCCCATCAGATCTCGTGAGACTTATTCACTAACATGAGAATAAGATGAGAAAGACTGGACCCTATGATTCAGTTACCTCCCCTTGGTCCCTCCAGAATTCTGGGAGATACAATTCAAGTTGAGGTTTGAGTGGAGACACAGCCAAACCATATCATTCCACTCCTGGCCTCCAAATCTCATGTCCTCATATTTCAAAACCAATTATGCCTTCCCAACAGCCCCCCAAAGTCTTAATTCATTTCAGCATTAACCCAACAGTCCACAGTTCAAGGTCTCATCTGAGACAAGGCAAGTCCCTTCTGCCTATGAGCTTGTAAAATCAAAAGCAAGCTAGTTACTTCCTAGGTACAATGGAGGTACAGGTATTGGGTAAATACAGCTGTTCCAAATGTGAGAGATTGGCCAAAACAAAGGGGTTACAGGGCCCATGCAAGTCCAAAATCCAATGGGGCAGCCAAATTTTAAGGCTCCAAAATGATCTCCTTTGACTCTAGGTCTCACATTCAGGTCACACTGATGCAAAAGGTGGGTTCCCATGGTCTTAGGCACCCTGTGGCTTTGCAGGGTATGGCCTCTCTCATGACTGCTTTCATGGGCTAGCATTGAGTGTCTGGCTTTCCCAGGCACATGTGCAAGCTGTGGGTAGATCTACCATTCTGAGCTCTGGAGGATGGTGGCCCTCTTCTCACAGCTCCACTGGGCAGTGCCCCAGTAGGGACTCTACTGGGCAGTAGAGTCTACTGGGGGCTCCAACCCCACATTTCTCTTCCTCATTGCCCTAGCAGAGGTTCTATGTGAGGGTCCCACCCTTGCAGCAAACTTTTGCCTGGATATCCAGGCATCTC